GATGTACTGATTCATTCTATAACATGGATGAACCTTGAAAGCATTATGCTAAGTGAAAGAAGCCAGACACAAAAGGCTATATGTGATTCCATTTACATGAAATATTCCCAATAGGCAAATACATGGTAACAGAAAGTAGATTAGCGGTTGCCAAGGAGTGGGGAAAAGATGGGAATGACTGCTAATGGGGGAAAGATTTCTTTTGGAGACGATGGAAATGTTGCAGATTAGGTGATGGTTGCACAATACTATGAATATACCAAAATTGCTGAACTGTATTATTTTAAAATGGTGAGTTTTATATCAATAAAAATGTATAAAATAAAAATAACAAGCCCTTTAAAAAGCAATGGTATTTGCAAGGATTTATATAACACATACAAATATAGGGGAGTGAGTCCTTTGTGGAGTGAGCCTTGATCAATGGGGAAGAAGAGACAGGAAGCTACCAGGCAGGTAACTTCTCCCTCCTTTCTCCTTCCGTGGACTACACTAAGGGCCAGATCTTCCTTGCAATTCCCTTGGCGGCTTGAGAAGTACAAGCAGCACAGTAACCTGGATTAGAATCACATTGTTGTATGTTGTCTGGTTTCATATTCTCCCTGGCTCAACTCTCTCTCCCTCCCACGTCCCTCCCTTCCCTTTATCCTCAATTTCCTGGGCTTGCTCCTTTCAAATAAATTCTTAGCACCTTTACTCCTTGCCCTAGATTCTGCTACGAGGAGCACCTGCACTAAGACACCAAGGGAAGGTCACGGTAGAAGAGGGAAGGAGAGGACGTCCTGTCAAATGTGGATTCTATTACTGTAGAAGAGACATGGACATGTTTGAGGTTATACTCATTGACTATAAGTAAAAAGCTGACTTTCCTTTGTAGATAAAAAGAAATTATTCTGTCAAACCCATTCTTTGAGAAGCACTATTTCTTAAAAAACTATTTTCCTTTTAATAAAAATGAGACATACTCATCAGAAATTTTCTAAGCATGCAAACTGAAGAAAAAGAACAGTATTAAACACATGCAGATTGAGCAGAAGGAAGACCACTATCTGAAATCCTACACCATTTTGGTGTCTATCCTTTCAGTCCCTTTTCTAATCATACATAAATCTAGAAATGCTTTTTTTTTCCCCCAAAGAAAGAAAAATTTCTCGAATAAAGTATGTTGTGGCAAGAAAGTCTCAATTATTTCAAGAATTTGGAAGTTCTCCATTAAACACATAAAATTCATGGTTAAAAAAAGTAGTTGAATCCTCCAAATTTGAAAACTTGCACTAAACAAGCCAGGCCTGCAGAATTAAGCTTGCCCTTTCCTGTAGTAAGTAAAACTGATGTCTTTTAATGAATGAAATGATGGCTTTAACTTAATCCGTGATCCCTCCCCAGGAGTACGGTGTGTGAGCATGCACACACTGCCTCCACAGCGACAGGGGCCTTAGCAGGGATGCAAGGTGCTGCGCTTATGACCTGTGCACTCTCCCCATGTTTTACACAAGAAGAATCTAACAAAAGCAGATATGTAAGGATCAGGGGGCTGGAAAAAAGTGCGGTAGGGGAGCCGGCGCGAAGCACTGGGAGAGTGTAGAGAGGCACCATTTGCTTCTTTGTCAAGTGATGGCAGGAAGTCACCTGGGTTTACATGAGCCTCAGCATATTAACATCCTGGTGGCAAAAAAAAGAAAAAAAAAATCCTGGTGGCAGGAGGTATCTTCCCACTGTCCTCCATTGGCCTTGACCCTGCCTGGCTGGCCATTGGGCAGATGTTAGAGTGAAGGAGACATATGTATCGTGATTTATCATACTTAGTTTTAAGAATTATGTTTTTCTGATTTAAGGAAAGTGAGCTGTGTATTGAACTATAGTTAATTGCACCATGTTTACTTTCACTTAGAAAAGTATATTGACTGATATTGAACAAAATAATAGCAAAAATACTAGGAAATATTACATGGCATTTACTGTGGGACAGACACTGTTCTTAGTGCTTTACGTATGTTACCTCATTTAATTCTCATTTTGCAGCTAAGGAAACTGAGGCACAGAGTGGTTAAGTAACTGGCTCAAGGTTGCACAGCAAGAAAAAGTTAGAGTAAGTTTTCAGACTCAGGCATCTAGCTCTTCACCTCTATATAATGTTACTCACGTATAGTCAGACATACTGCAAAATGAAGGCTCATGGCTGTGTAGCCATGCCGAGCTATTGCAATAAGGTTAATTTCAGATGGCATTAAGTAATGCATAACTCTTAGTGAAAGTACCGTGCAGAGGGAGATTTTTAAATCAATAACTGGAAGGAATCCTGTGGTTAAGAAATGCTTTAATAAAAAACGTGCCACTTGCATTGTTTGACATACAAGAGGAGACCCAAAAAAAAAAAACCAAAACAAAAAAACAAACCCAAAATAGAATTATCTTCTGGAGGGCAGGCCCCTTGTAGTGCTGGCTTCCCCTGCTAGGTGAGTGTTCTAGGAACCTGTCTGTATCAGTGTACCAGCTGCACTGTTGTGAGAGGCTGCGTTCAGTTTCACTGAATTTTTTTAAGACTCTTTCAACACGTTTGCCCATTTCATGATGGGTGATTTACAAGCGCACCTACCCACACCATGTTCAGCAGTTTTTGACCAAAAACAGCCTGACCCCCATGCCGTACCCTCCTTATTTACCTGATCTCACTCCAAGAGACTTTTTTTGGTTCGTTTCCGTGATGAAAAAAGTCTTCAAAAGGAAACATTTTGCCTATATTGAAAAGATGAAACAGAAAATAGCAGAAGCACTAAAAGGCATCAAAATTGACGAGTTCAAAAACTGTTTTGAGCAGTCAACAAAACATCTCAATTGGCGTATTGCATCAAATGGAGGGTACTTGGAAGGTGACTGAAGTTCAAATGTGTAGAAATAAATACACAATTTTTAATAAATAAATTCCGGGATTTTGGGGGTTCCTTTTCGTATTGAAGCACTGGTGTGGACATCAAGTTTCCACATTAAAATGAACTTCGGTTGGCAACTAGTTGATTATTAATGTTAAACTATATTAAAATGAAACTCACACTGAGCCCCACTGCAGAGAGTGAGGAGGGGGCGGTATTCCGTGCAATGGGATCTCCATGCCTCCATGCGACGCTGTGCACAGCTGCTCCTCAGATGCAGCCTCACCTGACCAAGCTGGATTGACGACAAAGCACTACTGCATTCATGGAAGAGGAGACAATGTTTGTCACTCAGCAAAGGGAAGATATCATTGATATTTGTCTTCTCATCATGTCTTTCAACCAAGAACCTAGCACGGTGCCCTGCACTCACATTTATTAAGAGATTGGGCAGCCCATTCTCTTCCCGAGAGTACATTTGCCTGGGGAGTCAAACTGTAAACAGAAGATGGGTTGTGAGCATGAAATTGGCCCGGCTGGCATCATCAAACTGCTGCAGGGTAGCAAGAGCTCTACTCTATTTTCTAACACATTGTCTACTTAAACGAAAATAATGAACACGCCGATCCATCAGGATTTAATTTTAGTATATTGTGCATTGTTTGGTTTCAGTTAATCTTTTTCACAATTTTTAATCAAGGTATCATAATTTTCTTCATTTAATATTTTTCTCCTATAATTTTGAAAAATTGCTTATATTATGTAAATAGCTGGGTCTATTTCTGGGCTTTAATATTATTCTGTAGTATATTCTAATAACTGATTAGTTCATATTGATTTTCTCTATTGATTTTGTTTTGGAATACATTTACTCGTGTATTTGTTTTGACAAAATAATTTCAGAATAATTTTTTCAGCTACATTATGTTTCTTTTTTAGTTTATGGTTAATAAGATCATATAGGGTTCTTATTACACTATTTGAAAAAGCTTGTTGAATATTGGTATTAAAATTTGTAAACAAAAAGTCCAAATCATGTTCTTTTCATCACATTAAAGATAAAGTGAGTAACTTGACCCTTGCATGGGCAATAGAATGATGGTATTTGGGAAAATAGAATGTGACTCTGTAGGAAAGCAATAAGTTGGCAAGGCAAAGAGTCATGAATATAAGATATATACTCATATCTACATTCTAAGTAAGCTGGACAATTCAAACGTAGTAGAAGGTTTTACTGTGTCCAGTTTTAACTGAAAAGGATAGAATCCGAAGAGGACAGAATGATGATTCCTTAGTGCTACAGTGTTACCTTGATCTCATTTCATCAGTTTTTGTTTATGCACCACAAAACAATCTTTGGAAGAACTCATTTTCACCTGGTGTTGAAAAATGTGGACTCAATGGTCAGAATTCTTTGGTCTGAACCGACTCTTCTGTTTGCTGGACTACTGTTTACTCCAAATGGATGATAATTTTTATATATATATATATATATATATATATATATATATATGAAGCCATGTTTATATGAAGCCATGTATATATGACTTTATATAAACATGGCTTCATATATACATGATGCCATATAAGCCATATATATATACATATACATATACATATCTCTCTTCAACAGTAGAGATCTTAAATTAGACAGGCACTTTTTGGTTTGGAGGAGGCCCATTTACCTACACTTCTTTTTTTCCCCAAATCTGAAAGGCTACCCTGTACTCATTTGCACGGGCAGCATGACCCAGTGAGGCTGCACTCTTGTACCTGGCCTTCACCATTATCAAGGAAATGCTTCTGAGCTTTGTACCTGACTTATTTATTGTTGCATTCTGGCAGCCATTCCCCCACCTCCTGGCAAAAATAGCTGGATTTCATTAAAATTCAATCTCTCTTGATACCATCTCTGCTGGGTATTAGAGGGGACGGCTACCAATGGAGCTTCGGCGACCCGATTCAGAAGAGATTTGGGCTGGAATTTTCTAAGTGCTCTAAAATTACCGCTTCTCTCCGTGCCTGCGGCTCCCTGCCCTCCTTATGCTCTCCCTGCAGCATGGGACCTCAGCCAAGTCTCCCATGGCTTTGCGAGCTGGACACTGAAATGAATCTTGCTTCATATTTCAGGTGCGAGTTCCCTCCTGTCATCGTCTCCAGCCCTCGCTCCCGGGCGCCCTGCATGAGTGACGCCTCAGTCTGCCATGGACCCTGGCCCTGCCCTGGCCTGGCTCCTGCTCCTGAGCCTGCTGGCTGACTGTCTGAAAGCTGCACAGTCCCGAGACTTCACAGTGAAAGACATTATCTACCTCCACCCCTCAAGTAAGATTGTTCTCTTCCCTATAGAAATGTCACCTGACTTAAAACAGACGTGAGTTTGAAAATGGCCAGGAGAAGGCAGTGTTCAGGGCAGGGAAACCCTCTGATGATTTAATTGGGGGTTGCAGGTGCTGCCAAAGATTCCCCTTTGTGTGGGGTGTCTGTCTGTTATTTTAAGGCAAATTATTAGGCTTGTTTTCTTTGTCCCCTGCACCATCACTCTGATTCTGGACACCCTTCCCTTTGACGCCTGCCAGCCTCAGTCAGTTATCAGAGCGAACCTCCATGTCCCAGGAGGAATGTGTTTGTGCAAGATCAGTCCTTTATGAAGAAGACAATAGCTTGTCTTCCTGTCTGTGCATCTCATTCTCAGCTTCAGCATAATTACCTTCCACGATTTCCTGTTCCCCATCCCTTTTGGTTTCCTGTGTTTAAGAATTATCTGGAGAATGCATAGTAATGCACAGGCACAATCCCTTCCCTTGAGCGTCTAAGAGCATAGCTGGCTGGGGCTGTACCTGTGATTTCTGGCTTTTAGCAAGAATTTCAGGTGCTTCTGCGCTGATATTCTAAGGATCACATGTGGATCACACAGCACTTTCATTTCCTCTTTTCACCTCCATCTCTGTGTTTATCTCCTGTCTTTAGTTTTTGTTTGGATCCCCTTCTGGATTGCCCCTGTGATGGTGAGAGCTGGGTACATTGTGTATACTTTTACCTTTAATATCTGCCCTGAGGTATATTCCTCTTTTGAAATACTCTGTTCCGTCAACATTTTTTTACCTAACCTGTGTGTCGGCATTGTGATAGATTTGAAAGACACAAATGCAAATAAAACCTAGTCCTTGCTCTTGAGGATCTTAGAACCTGTAAGATGGAGGACTCCTTTAATATCACATGGTTAGACTATTTAATTTCCGCGCGGTCTGGTTTAGATGAGAGGTGGGCCAGGAAATTCACAGGGGCAGGCCCATCAGCCTGACTATGGGCCAGCAACTCGCTCTGTTTTCTAGGATTGCAGTTTGTTTGTTTGTTTTTTCTCCAAACAGCTGTCCTTTTTCTATTGGACTTGGGGAACAAAACCTAGATTTCAGCCTCTTAGGTTTGACTGCCAGGATTTTCAACTTCTGGGGGATTCGTTGTCTACTTCAGTGACAGGCCCAGAAGTCGCCAGGCCACAGAAAAGGTCCACACCTGGCTTTCTCTGAGGCTGTGTTGTACACAGGGTGGGAAGGAAAACTGAGGGGACTGGATTTAAGGGAACTAAATAAAACCAACACTCCCACAGCACCTCTGCCTCACCAGTATGGTGGATCTGTGCCCGGTTGAGTGGGCCCCTATTCAGAAAGTCAATTTCAGAATGAGATTTTTGAAGGTGAATTCTGCTCGTGTGACCTATGTTAATTAAATAGAGCCATAGCTTAATTAAAAGGAACTCGCCATATAGAAGAATTGGTGGGGTTTTCTGATAGGGTTTTGAAATACGGCGATGGATAGAAGAAGCCATTCCTAAGCTAGACTGTGCATAGACAATTCCCCGGCAGGGCTGGGCTGAATTCTAGTTTGGAGTCTCTCTCCCTGGCCCTGGGGAGTGAAAGTTCTTGCTGGATTGAAGGCATCATCAATGGGTCCTCGTTGGCTAGAATTTTGTTTACTCTGTCCACTTTAAAGCAGAGTCAACTTCACATTTCTGTGCTCTATTTCAGAAGTTTCTGGTATTTATTTGCTTAACACTTTGATTTTTTAAATGGTCATGGTCCTCTGCCCTGAGCAGCACCCAGTAGACCATGTTTAGATGGAGCAATCTCTCTACAAATGAGCAGGTTTCTGTAGAATAGACTATAAAAAATATATGAGGGAAGTGTGGAATTACAATATTTTTATCTTGAATTATTAATATAATCGCCTCGCTATGTAGATGAAGGCACAAACAGCTTTCTTGGGGTCAGTGGGTGAGCCAGATTCCATGAATGTGAGATACCGCTGGGAACCTGCCCGGGGAGAAAATGCGGTGATGCTGGAGATGTAAGAAGAGATTCAGGCTTTCCACACCAGACAAACACAAACTCATTTCTGCTGGGCCCTGAGCCGCCCTCAGAGATAAAGAGTGGGGTGATGAGGTGAGATTGGAACCCAGGGTGGGAAAGCTCAGCCTCCTGTGACTAATCTCCTTTGCTCTTATTCCCTAATTTTTGAAGTTTCTAAGCCCTCCAAAGAAATAAACATGGCTTTCAAACTTGAGACACTGTCCCAATGACATTCGTTTCCATATTCTGTATGTCCATGAGTAAAGTACTAAAGCCTAATAAATCCTTTAAACAGGAGTTAGTGTTAAGAGAATTGAAGCTTCCTTCTTGGATGTTAGATGTCATATGACTGCAACCTGTTCTTGGCTTTCATTTCTTTCCTTGTACTATAAATCTTTCCTGAGATTTTCACTTTTCCTCTGGTTGCATATTATGAGTCTTTCCTGTGGACCAAAGCACTTTATCCTTGCCGGGGCCTTGCTTATGCCTAGACGGAGGGCCAACTGAATTTTTTTTTTCCTAATTCTATGTGTATTGCATGAGCTTTGGGAAGTAAGGGGACTTTCTAGAAAGGTAGCAGGAAATACATTTCTATCAAAAATATGTCCACAATATTAAAATTGTACTGAAAATATTTTGTGGCCAAGTGGTCTGAGAGACAGGTCAATTTATTAGATTTCTAAAAATTTTGTTTGCATCCAATTTCCAAAAACAATGGAAGTTAAATTTGGCAAGAATAAAAAAATAGTTTGGCTGCATTACCCAGAAGCATACATTTTAAAACAAGATTCTCTTCTCACCACCGTTTTGGTAACTGAAGGCCTTTGTCCAGGCAAAAGTTCCGAGAGATGGAAACAAAGACGAGATCTTTTCTGATGCCTTGCAAATGAATTATGGTCGGTTGAACTATGGCTGACCATGAGAGTTAATGGACAGATTATGTTACAGGAAGTAACTGGGCGCTTTGGCATTTCTTTTTTTTTCTTTACAATCGCCTTCTCTTGAGGGACCAAGGACTTATGCCCTGAAATACAGAGTCCTAAGCTTATTAACTCTGTGATCAAGAGCCAAATTAGATTCATTCACAGCTGGGGCCACAACAATTTGAAACTCTGCTTGCTCCGTAATGCTTTGAAGTAACAAAGAAAAAAATAGAACATCTCTTAGAAATCTCTTTCCAGTCCTTTTTAAAAAAAGCTTATCAGATTCAGTATCAATTAGCAAGTTACTGGAGATAGTTGTTCAACTCTAGACCTTAGTTTTGGCTAAATATTTCCAAAGGGAAGAATTTAACCATTACTTGGTATTGTGCTATAATTACCGACAAGGCTGAGTCTGTCTGCAGACATTTGTCACTGAAAAGGGTTTGGTTATTCACCGATCAGTGCTGTCTACCAGATGTAAGTTCAAGTCCCTGTAAGCAAATATTAGCATGTCATTGTTGAGAATATACACAGATGTGCAGTTGTAGATTTAAAAATAAAAATCACTGAAAATGAGATCATTTGGTTAATTGTCAGTGATACATACTGACAAACACATTCAGAGATAAAATAACTTGAAGCAAGACTTCATGATGCTACCTTAGTGTTTTAGTTTGTGTTCCTGTTTAAATTTTGATATACTTCCAGTTAATTGCAGAGTCCAATCCTACTTGCATAAGAATGATAGCATTTAATTTAATATGTCATTCAATGACAGTATTTAATATATCATTAAGGGACAGTATTTAACTTAATATGTCATTTGAGAATCCTTTTAAAAAATTGACTAGCATTGCAAAAGATGTTTTTGAAGAGTCTATTAAATAATCCAGATTTGAAAACACTGCACTTCATTAGTGCTAGGTTCTCAGAAAGTTTATTTTTGGAATGGCTGGGGTGTCAATCTTCATTCGGAATTCTTAAGTTATCTCTTTGATGGGGAAGTTTCCAGGAATAATTAACCCAACATTCCAGCTAAAAATTTTACTGGCTGCAGTGACAGACAGACAAAATTGGGTACTCTAGCGAATTAATCATGCAAGCTGGAGTGCTGTGGCTAGCTTGTAGACATGAACCTTGGTGTATATTATCATTTTTTGACAAATGCTCTTCTTTGATAAATAGTTTGCATCTGTTTTTTAAAACTCCTACTCCAGTAATTCTACTTCAAAATGTACAAACTAGACTCTTTCAACTTAAATGTAACCCACCTATCTAGGTAGCGGGATGTGGAGATATAAAAATTATTTGTGTGTCGTTTTGTAAAACAGTTTACTTCTGTTTTATTATAATTATACGTGGGGAGAAGATGCTTCCTTTTAGTGGAATTTTTTCATTGGGAATGAAATGGTTAGATGTCTAAGTTGCTTTTCATCCTCATTTTCTAAGATGATCCATGTATGCACTTTCATTCTGTTTATGGATTTGAGTCATCAAGTACTTGCAGGAACGTAGAACTCTCCCATGGGCCTGTAAAAAGGTCCAGCTACCTGCCTTTTTTAAAAAAGACAGTTTATTACTTTTGATCTTGCTGTTTTCAGAGTCAGCCCTGTGAACTAGTGCAAGCAAGTGCAAGGATGGGCGGCTATTCTAGGCAAGGTGAAAATCAAAGTTATATCTAGCCCATAATTCTGGCCTTAAGCTGCTGCCTCCTCCTTCATTTATTTTTGATAACATACTTAATTGGTTCCATGTGGGCAAAGCAATTTACCCTGAGATGATTATTTCCGCCAGTGTGATATGCAGGCTCAGCCATCTGCAAGAGAGAACAGTTGGCTTCTGCAGATGAAGTGTTGGAGCATTTGCAGCTTTCAAACAGGCCAGGTAATTTTACAAATTAAACACACACACATTTCACAAGTCCTGTTTATGAAAGGCAAAACTCTAAGCAGCAAAGCAAGCAAATGATTAGAACTAAGCAGCAAGTAAAAGCTCATCAGTAGATCAGACAGAGATAACCTGGCCTGATGTACCTTGTGGACCCTTGTCCTTAAATGCTAACGAGGCCCTGGCGTGCTGGCGCTCCGGGGGGTGTGACTGTCATGGGACACCTCCCTGCCTGAGCGTGCGTGCAGGCAGAGAATACAAGTGCCTGGAGGACGTTTCTCCAGAAGGCAGCAGGAGGCAGCTGGCGGTGAGGAGGGCGGGGGCCTGGAGCTCAGAGCCAGTCGTGCATCTGCGTCCCCGGGTGCCCCCGGCATGCTGCTCGGTGGCCGTTGCAAGCGGGTCGGAGAGGCCTCTTAGGAGGATCCCCTTTGCACTGGCAGCGTCTATTTTAGCAAAGAAGACTTTTTCCTTACCATCTGCAGGGATTCTTAACCGTGTCAGGTCCGAGAAGATAAAAATACTTGATTGAACTAAAGAAATTGCCCCCTTTGTAGGTACAGAATGGTCAAATACCAGGAAATATTTTATGATTGAACCTAATATTTGTATTTACATGTTGACCTGTCTCCATAAGTTGACACGTAAAACTAAATCGTTGGAAATTTAGAGTACCTTTTTGTAAACTGATATTTTTATTGAGATAATTGTAGGTTCATAAGCAATTGTAAAAAATAATACAGAAAGATTCCATGTACATTTTACCCAGTTACCCACAATGGGAACCTTTTGAAAAACTGTAGATGAATATCACAACCAGGTTATTGACATTGATACATCAACCCGCTGGTCTTGTTCAGACTTCCCCAGTTTCATTTGTATTCCTATGTGTGTGTATGTGTGTGTCTGTGGAGTTCTATGTAATTGTATCATGTGTGTAGGTTTGCGCATTTACAGCCAAGTCAAGACGCTCAACAGTTTCAGTAGCACGAGGATTCCTCCTGCCGGCCTCACCCCAGGCTCCCTCTAAGCCTGCCCCTCGCCACTCCCGTCCCTGTCCTGGCAACCACTCAGCTGCCCTCCACTTCTAAAATTTCTCATTTTAAAAATGTTGCATATAGTAAATGTTACATGTAATATATAAGCTTTTGGGATTGACTTTTTTCCACTCAGCATAATTCCCTGGAAATTCATCCAAGTTCTTGAATTTATTGATATTTCATTTTTAGTGCTCACTGGTAGTCCATGGTGTGGATGCACTGCAGTTTCTTTAACCTTCACCCATTGAAGGATGTCTGCACTGAATCCAGTTTTAGTCTGTTACAAATAAACTTGCTGTGAATCATTGTGTACAAGTTTTTGTGTGAATAGAAGTTTTAATTTCTCAGAGATAAAGGCCCAAGAGTGCAGTTGCTGAGACATATGGTACTTGCATGTTTACTTTTTAAAGACACTGGCAGGCTGTTTTGAGAATCCTTTTTAAAAATTGACAATGTCTAACTTCACAATGCAGGATTCTGTGCTCAGTTTTAAAAATTAATCTTTTCTCTTGATCTTTTTTATAGCCACACCATATCCTGGTGGATTTAAGTGTTTCACCTGTGAAAAGGCGGCAGACAATTACGAGTGCAACCGATGGGCTCCAGACATCTACTGTCCTCGAGGTAAACTCAGGAGCTGGCCTGGGGTCCCCAGAGCTGCAGTCCCCATGAGCGAAGAAACCTGTTCACCTTGACGCATGTATGGGAGGAAGCCTGCTTAAAATGTCAGTCGCTTCTCTTGTCTAAGGCTGTTAGTGTAGTAGGTTGCTTATATCACACCAGTAACTTACAGTCAGAGACACTCAGAGTCCTAAATGGATCCATAGGATTGCCCCCTTTCTCGTGAAGCTCCAGAAAAGGTGAGTGAAACTCACCCCTAGGCCCAGTCACATGCAGGACATGAAGACACCACCAGCCTCTAATCCACTCTGTCCACTCTTTGAAGTATTAGTCTTGCATGGTAACTTCCTTTTGTAAAGTATGAAATCAATGTTCATATAAAGATTCCATTTATTACATATTTTGCCAGAGGCTTTTATCCTGAGACTGCATGAAAGCTAGAATTCTAAATGTCATCATTGCATAAATAAAAACCCTGAGCCTTTTAAACTGTGAAGTTCTCTTTGAAGGACGAGATGGATGCCCAATTGAAGCATGAAATTTTGACCCAAAGGCCCATTTCAAAATCAAGGAGATGTTCCATAGTCGTATTTCTTTTAATCTAGTGAATTAAAAAGATGGGTATATTTGGCCGTCGAGTCACTGTTAATTGGCTAGTTTATTTTTGGAAGAAAGTCGATTCATGTGATGGGGAGATGACAAGGACAGGGCATTTTATTAACAAAGGTTGGAGCCAGCAGTGAAATGGACTTCACTGCTAGGAGTTCTCATACGCACCCCAGCACAAGGCACTCTTTCTCACGGAGGACTGGGCACTGGGAGAGCCTGGAAACTGCAATGAAGAAACAGTGTCAGCCACCTAAGCCAGTACTATTGAATCCATGCGTCCTCACCTAGACTGCCCAGGACTAGTAACTCCTGTGGGTCTTTTCAAAATCACTGGCACCTGTGCCCTGCCTAAACTGGTGGCTCTCACACTTCAGCATGCTTGTCATTCCTTGGAGGGCTCATTAAAACACAGATTTCTGCCCCTACCCCTGCCGTCTTTCGTTCCGAGTTTCTGGTTCAGGAAGACTGAGATGGGGCCTGAGAAACTGCATTTCTGAAGAGCGCCCAGGTGATGCAGAAGCGGCCAGGCTCCAGACCACACGTTAAGAACCACAGTTCTCCACAAATTGAGCCAGCATCTCTGCTCAGGGCTTTAAGTATCCCAGGTAATTCTAATGAACAGCAGGGGCAAGAACCACGGGGAGCTTCTCTCCCTACTAATAAAAGTGTAGTGCAATATTGTCATTTCTAGATGCCTCTTGTTTACTGAGGTAGAGATGCTAAAGTGAAAGACCACAGGGAAGAGAAAAACATGGAGGCACTAAAGACCAACTTAATCATAAGCTAGCTGTGCAGCCATCCAAGTAGTCAGAGATGAGTCCCGCCTGCATTGCCTTCTGCTGTCACTTGCTCATGTTCTCTAACATCCCACCGCAGAATGAACATTCGGGTAGGCTTCTGATGGACCTGGGGAAACCACTGCTCCTCAAACTTGGCAACACATTCAAGTCACGTGGCATAGTTTTTAAAACACTGATGCCTGGGTCATTCCCAGGGATTCGTGTTTAAATGGTATGGGGTGTGGCTGAGCATATGGAGTTTTCAAAGCTCCCCCATGGTTCTCATATGGAGTAATATTTGAGAACCACCAGTGATGCTGAACTAAAATAGGATGATTTGCTTGTGTAGCAAATATCTTTTGGGCCGGTTCCTGTTGGGACAGAGTTGGCAGATGAGCTTTTCCGCACAGAGCTGCTGTACAGGCAGTGTGGTGGGGCTTCTCTCAGCGTTGCCATAGCAGAGATGATGAGAATAAAGGAGGGACTGTGAACTGGGGCTCTCTCAGGCTTTGGGCCATAGTTCAGTGAGGCCAGTCCCAGTCTGATGGTGCACAACTGTATCCCTGTCGCAGAGAAAAAACAGGTGACTGAGGAAGGTCTATCTTCATATTTTCTTTTGAGGTCAAAATCTATCCTTCCAAAGTACAAATACACAAAAGTATCACACAATTTCTCCTTTTCCTTTTTTCCTCTCCTACTTTTATCTTTTCATCCTTAAATTTATAGGAATAAATGGAAAGTGCTGCCTCAAGGTTCATGATGCAGAACACAGGCCCTTTGGGGGATTATGCAGTGAAAGATAAGAATCGGGTTTTTTCTTTCAAGGAGCGCAGCTTAGCTGGGGGAGATAAGATTGGGACATATCAAATGTCAAAAATAGCAGGACAAAAGCAAGTGCCAAATTAAATGCTGTCGGAGTTTAAGGGAAGATCTTCTGTTCGAGGGCTGTGGCGGCCAGCAAGGGCATCATGGGTTCGGAAGAGGGCAGCAGCCCTGCAAGTGGGCGGCGGAGGGGGAGATGGGAGAGGGCATGTGCTGCGGGAAGTCACTCAGAGCAAAGGCGTGGGGGCAGGATTCCTCGCTGCGCTCGGTGCCCAGGGAGAGGCCTGGACTGGGGGCAGCCGCTAGTTTACATCCGAGAATGTAGGAACAAATAGGGGAGCCAGGTTATTTTTGTGGGAACTTGAATATCAGGTAAGGAGAGGAGACTTCCTGACCAGACCCGCTACCCATCAGCCATGTATCCTTCCCTCTGGGTTTTCTCCAGATTTTTAAACAATGTAAATGGCATCAATATATTTGGATTAAAATACAAAATGTGCCTGACTACTAAAAACTGCTGACTAATTCTAGATTTGTCTTGTTTTTTTTTTCTGTTTATTTCAAGTTTGTTTGAAGCAGCTATAGCAAGGGCTTAGTAAGGGCAGCTCAGTAGCTGCTATGGAAAAAAATACCAGCTTTCTACAGCATTCCTGGTTTTTTCATTTGTTTATTTTATGGCATGTTTAACTAGGTTTTAATTATTACATGATGTGAAAATAACTTGTTGAAAGTGAAAAAACCGTTTTATCATAGTATTTAATCTTATCTCAATGGGATAGACCCACATCCCAAATTGCTTAGGGGAACACCCGAATTTTAAGAAGATCTGAAAGCTAAACTCTGCCATGTGGGTGATCCTCATAGAGACATATTGTATTTTAGCAGCTGAGGTAAAGCTTGCTTACAAATTCAACAGACTGGTTGTGAATCATCATTTGGTCAAATAAACATCAAGAAAGCCTTTCCTTAACTGGCATCACTGTGACAGGCAGCAGTGGCATCAGCCAGCCCCTCCTAGCTAGCTCAGGTCCCTTGTCACTCTCAGCTCTCGAAATGTGTGTTGTGTGAGTACTGCCTCCTCCATTACTTTGTTATTGCCTCTGGCTCTTACAGATGCCTGGTACCATACTCCCTCCCTAGACATGAGAATTTGATGCCCTTCATAAGTGATCACCTGCTTCACCTGCTACTCTTCTGTTTAGGCTTTAGTCCCTGAGCACTTCCTTTGCAATAACTTTAATTTCATCAATTGCTCCATATAAATCTGCAGTTTTCTTGACTTTGTGAACCAGAATGGGAAAGGATCTTGAAATCATATCACACCAGGGACCAGTGGAAAGAACTGGTCAAGGAAAGCAAGAGTTGAATGTCACACAGTCACATCCATGCATTCTTTTGCCTGTGACTTTTCTCTGTGCTGCAAGATTCAAAGCTCCTTGAGAGAGAGGGAACATATAGATGTTTAGCCATCTCTGGAATTAAATGTCAGGTCAAAAACAGTTTTTAAAAAGCTTTGTTCTGTGATGGCTACCTAAGCCTCAAGGATTTAATGTTCCTTTTTAATTATGAAGTGCAGATGTCTCCCTTTAAGGCAAATTCTTCATTTGAAATTATTACTGATATAAAATCAGACCAAGAGAGATCTTAAAATGGAGAAACATGGGTCCTTTTGGTTCCAGCTTCTCTGCTGCGTCACTGTTTTTCTGTGAAAGTGAAGAAAAACCTGGGCATGTCCCTTGATGACTCCATACCTGTTATCCAGAGCGAACGGGAAATACAGATGTGCTCCCCAGCTCCACCGAAGACTGGCCCATGGTCATACGTTTTTAGGAAAGGTTCTTTATTGTGGACTTTTTTCAGACACAGCCCCGGCTAAGACAAACAACCTTTTAGTTTCCCTTTACCCAAGGGTGGATTTTTGTCTCTTTTAGCCAACCTTACACTCAGACTATCGTCCTTCAAGGTTTCTCTATTCTAGCTCTAAAAACTCCAGGAGGACCCCAGGCCTTGCACCTTTTATTGTTCCTCAAATAATACCCCCAATTCATCCCAGGGTAGAAAATCAGTGTTGGTCCCTGGGATTCCCCTTGCTTTCTGGAGAGTTCATTTATATGTTCACAGAAGCTATTGATTACGTGTTATTCAGCACTCTTGCTGCTATGTAATGAGATGAGGTTCAGATGTTCTCTCTTGTCATATTGCTTAATGGAAGCCTTAGACTTCCTCCTTTTAATACAGTTAAAATGTTTTTGTTGAATTTGAGCATGCATATCAGAAAGAGAATAGATCACAAGCACAGAGCTCATTGCCTTTTCACTAGATGAACATGCTGTGTGTTTGCCACCCATGGTAAGCAATTGAACCCCAGAAGGCCACTGGAGTCCCCAGTCATTATACTCCTTGCAAAGTTAACACAGTTGTTACTAGTGTCATTGAGCTTTTTATAAATGGAATCATACAGAACATACTCCTTTCTTTCCCACGTTGTATATGTTTCTGTGAGCAGCAAACTCATTCTTTTTCACTGATGTATTGTAGATTATTATATGGATATACCAAACTTCGTTTCTTCTACTGTTGAGAGACATTTGGAGTGTTTCCAGTTTTTAAATATGAGGAGCATTCTTGCACGTGCCTTCTGGTACACACATGTATCATTTCTGCTCGGTCTGTTCCAGGAGGTGGGGTTCCCGGGTATGCAGCATGTATGCCATGGCTTTGCTAGTTACAGCCTAACAGCCTTCCAGGCTGATTGGACCAGTTTGTGCTCTCCCCAGCACAAACAGTTGCCAC